TTATTTTTCTATCTGACTAATGAGTTTATGGTCACCGAATCAATGTTTTTCTGAGGTAAATGTGACTTTACTTGACATTGATTACAAGATGTTATACTGACGTCTTTGCGTGGAGGAAACACTGATTGAGCCATTACATGAGACAGAATACTGATTGTAAAGTTGTACTCTTTCTTTTAACTTACCTTCGGATGTTTAGTCATGTTTATTTTGTGCTGAAACTGGTATTAATGTGGAGGAGATGATCAGTTCACGTGCACCTCGAGCTGCCGCGATCTGTCACTTCATATTAAACAGCGCCAAAACGGAATTTGACAGAATTTGAAATCTGAGACTTTGTTTCATATTTAAAGTACCAAAGCACAATGCCTATTGCCATATATTGGATGGGAAGTGCCCTTCAATGTTCCGTCCATTATCTGAAAACAGGCTAGACTAATCGATTCTTGGGATTTAAGAATCGATATCGTTCCGTAAAAATGAGAATCGGTTAAAATTGAGATATCGATATTTTTTTACCCAGCACTAATATACACAGTATATATTCTTTGATAGTGAAATTCATTTTCCACTGAATGAGTACCATTTATTTACTATAGTATTTCCAAGGCACTTAAATACTGTGGCACATGTTTTAAAAAACAAGGTAGTACCATGGAATTTGTAATCAGAAAACACTGAAATTCAGTCAATATTTATGACAGTATTATGATATATTAGTATGACAGTATTTATTATATATCATTATACTGTTATAACAATACCCTTCAGGAATCCCTTATTTAAAAAAGTACTTTACCATAGCAGTACAATGTCACTGATATATTTTCATGGTAACACCACCATTATGATTATGTTATCAGATCAATTACACTACACTTAGACTTTTTTTTATTTTTGAATGAAAGATCAAATGGATAAACAATGCAGACTTATTTTCGCAGCGTTCTCTGATCATATTTACCAAGAGTATGAATATGTATACTATGGGTATGAGTATGAATACTATGGTATTACCATCTTTTTTGTAAAGAGCTATTCACGCGCACTTGTAATCGTTATTTTTAATATTTTAAACTCATTCTGCTTTTTGATATAAGTCATATATTTTAAACTATATACTATATATGATAATGAAGGTGTTTCTTACCCTGTCTGCTCCAAGCGCATGATTTTCAAACACAACAGCTCGTGGTCTCGGTATACTGCACTTCCTTCCGGTTGCTGTCACATGTGCATTATGGGAGTCGTAGTTTTCAACATGGATTCGTATTCGATGACCCCACACGATATTCAAAATCATAACTGAAATGTTGTGAAAATAACTTATGATCGATAACTTTACTTTATGGTGACGGGAGGAATATATTTTATATATATATATATATCCCTAACAAAGTGTATCAGAAAAATAAATACTTTTATTTTGTCCGTGCAAACGTGAGCCGCTCCAGATGGCCCTGGTTAGAGTGTCCATGTGCTGTTTTACCTACTAACAGCCCTACAAACTCTCAATTATAGATACAAGAGGGACTCATAAAAGACAAGCAATAAAACGTGTAATTTCTGCATTCAGCAAGTGATAAGGAAAACGACTCACTTTAATTTAGACATTCCTGGATCTGCAGAAAGGCCAGAGCTTTACAGGGGCCACATGATGGGGCCCAAGGAGGACAGAGCCTGGAGCTGTCACTCTTTAGAACTTGACCAATGGGGTGGAAGTTTGGCTCTATTGACTCTACAATATTTATTCCCAAATAAGAATACATAACATATCCAAAGTTATCATGGGGAGCAATGTTTTAAACTGTCGGTAGATGGCAGCATTGATCTATGAGTCTTTTTTCTTTCAGGCTCTCACTTTTTCCTCCTGGCTGAAGTTTTAAAAGCACCATTTTGCAAGATTTATGCCAATAATAGTTGATATCACTAATCACATCCTTATTTTGGATCAAAATATATAATATGACTTGTAGAAGCAGCACTGTTCAGTCACCAGTGCAAACATACATACATGTGCTGTAAATCCAGCCATAGGAAAAACTGCACTCGCACTGTGTGCTATAAATCAACAGCGTTCAAAACACCTTCAGATGGCTCTTATTTCATTCACGCCTTCAGCTCCAGGTGTTAAACAAATACAGATTTAAAATTAATACCTGACACAAAACTCAGCAGAGACGGCAGTGAAGGAAAGGCAGCGAAGCAGAAATATTATTTATACATTGTTTATGGAACTTTTTTTCTGAAATATTTTAGTTGGATGTCCGTTTAACATTTTTTAAATGTTGCTACTTGTTTCAGATCACATAACCTAGAACAAAAATGTTTTTAAAACATTTAAAAAACTGGACAACATTCAGAAATAAAATTGTCATAGCTTAATGGGAACTTTGTCAAGCAAAAGAGATAAACTAAGCTCTGATGTAAAGCAGCACTGAAAAGACAAAAGGGTCATTGTTTAGCTGAGGTCCATGTAGTGTTGGTTCAGTTCCGTTCAATAACTGTTTAAAGATCATGAAATATGAAAGTAGTTCAATTCAGCTGTAAGGCAGCCCTGTTAAATAATATTGCTGAATATTAAGATGTTAGCTGGGTCAACTTTTAATAAAAAAAAATAAAAAAAACACTTCCCATATCTTTTCTTGAAGATGTCACAGGCTATGTGTCACGAATCCAGTCTATGAACTTCCGTTCACTCACCACCAGAGGTCACCCGCTCACTACATGGACTCTCACACTACACAGACTGTTACACTATACCCTGCACTACATTTCCCATCATCCATTGCACTGATTGCACACAGCTGTAACCAATCACACGCGCACCTGAAAGCCATTACACACACTATATAACACCTACCCAGATCCTGCTCAAGTCGCCGAGTATTGTTCTGCATTTATCACTCTCCTAGTGTTAGCTGCTTTACCTAGCCATCCCGTGTTTCCTGAGTTAGAGTTTAATTTAGTCTTGTTCATATTCTGTTTACCCGTGTTTTGATCTTAGCCTGTTTTCTCATCTTGTCTGATCTCTACCTGCCCTGAAGTTTATAGCCTGCCTTGGATCTCTCTCTCGTCTTGTCGTTTGGACTCTGTTTGCCCCTGCCTGGACTATTACCGTGTACCTGGATTATCTCTCTCTGTCTAGCCCTCTGGATGTCATTTGCTGATCGGAGACCCTCGTCTGCTCTTGGATTATTCTTGTGTCTTGCCCGTACCATACCTGTTTGCCATTGTTTGACCCTGCCTGTGTTCTGACCGTGTTTATAAAAAAAGCTTGCACATGGATCCTCATGCCTCACGTCTCGTCTGCCCCGTTACACTATGTGTCCAATCAAACTCCAGTATTTGTTAAATATTAGAACTTTAAACAAACATTCTATCAATGTTACTAGAACAATGTTTGTTCATAAGAATACATTGCCAGAACGTTAGGGAAGCTCTGAGAATGTTAAGTTGTTTTGAAGCAGAACCAGTTGAAAAAAACAACAACTGATCTTTCCTTCAGGACGCTAATGAGTACTCATTGCTTATGCTGATTGTGTCACAGTCACAGGCCGTTTGTTTGGACCATAACCCGACTGTGATCTACAGGAGGGAAGATATGACACTCCCCAGCCTCCCTTCCCCCAAAAGGCTCCTCAGAGGCCGTGTCCACACTGAATTCAGCTCATGCTTTTCACTTTATTTTCTCTATATTGCAAGTTTTTGTTGCAAAGATTACAAAGTTCGCCCATGCAAAAGAAGCAGTTCACTTACAGTTTTTCTCTGTCGATTTGACTCTTTTCTCCAAAGTACTGTAATTGCTCTCAAAACAATTAACACAGCTAAGTTATCCAAGACCTATCACCCATGTGAAAAACGAATTGCCCCTTTTTGGTTGTGCCACCTTTAGCAGCAAGAACAGCAAACGCTTCTGATAACTAGAGATCAGTCTTTTACAGCACTGTGGTCTGCGTGTGTGTACCTGGTATTACCTACATTATGTGGAACAAATGTCCCCACAAGTATAGTAATAGCAGTAAATTTTGACCTTGTGGGGACATTTTTTGTGGGGAAAAGAGTTTATAAATCATACAGAATTAAGTTTTTTGAAAAATATAAAATAGCAGAAAAGGTTTCTGTAAAGGGTAGGTTTAGGTGTAGGGTTAGGGTAAGGGTAAGGGGATAGAAAATACAGTTTGTACAGTATAAAAACCATAACACCCATGGAATGTCCCCACAAAAAAATGGAAACCAGTATCTGTGAGTGTGTGTTTACTGCTGTACATAAATTATGCTGAATTATTGATCTTGTCTTTCATTTACATTTGGAAGAGAATTTCATCTGCACTGACTAATCTGTATTTGGAGAGGATTTGTCTTTCTTTAAATGGTTTAATTAATAAATAATTGTTGAATTTAGTGGTTCTGTTCAGGATTGAGTAAAATTGGGGTTTATTTTGTAGGTCAAAGTGTGTTTTTAATGATTCAACATGAGTGTCTTTTAGATATTTGTCAATTTCGTTAACCCTTAAATGCATGCATCGGGTCTTTAGCGACCTGGGACATCATTCTCTACCCTCTCCCTCCTTAATTTTTTTAAGTTAGACATCAACTTTCCCTTTCTCACTTTCAACTCCAAGTTAATTTGACAAACATTTTACAGTGTACCGTATAAAGAACCTGTTTTGTTCTTATGCAGTTCTTTGGGTTGCAAGAAGATATATAGCACCACTGCCATACAAAAAGTACCTGTTACGCTCCTGTATAGTTCTTAAAAAGTTTCTCTAACTATCTATTAGTCTCTTAGTTTAGCTGGGGAAGGGATAAAAAAAACGACATTAAAATACAGTGTATTTCCTGAAGATAATGTGGTTCTCAAACTTTTTGATGATATGACAAATCTGATGATATGACAGATGACAGAGTTTTGTTTGTTGTGTTTGGACAAATGATACATAAATGTTTGTGATTTGTGTAAAATCAATAAAAGGAGCTACAATTGCTTTTTTTCTAAGATATTTTAAAGTATTGGTTGGTTATAATAACTATTATGAAAATATTTGAGAGTTTTGTGCACAGTGTTTTGAGAACATTACCCGCATGATTTGTAATTTGTAAGAAATGAAGGAAAACTTACAATTTGTTTAGGACAATTACAAAGTGTTCAGATCACTGTGTAAACTAGCTAACAAGGAACCTTTCAGTCAGTGACGTTCGATGTTACGTCAGACCGACTGACGAATTGGGATCTCACCCGAGAGCCCAATCACCTTCGAGTGCAACAAAACAAGCAAATTAATGTTGGCACACAAGCTTTGGAGGGTATATAAGGAAAAAGCGTGTGCAATTTTCCCTTCCGGTTTTGGAAGATTTCTGTAGATTTCTCAAACTGTGGTCGCGCTGTGACCTCCCCTGTGCACTTCAGCACTTCTATTTCAAAAAGAGCATTTTTAAAATAAGCGTATTTTTAAAAGATGTCTTTCCACCTGTGTGAATGCAGTAGCTTTCTGGCTCCATCTGACGGTCACGATCGCTGCATCACGTGCCTGGGCTTAAAGCACACTTAGGCAGCGTTCATGGATGACTCATGTTCCCATTGCGGGGACATGACCATTGCGGTGTTGCGGTCGAGACTCCTCTACATTAAACGTGGGGGAGTCCCCCTTCCTATGCCCTGTTCTAGTTCCTCCACCTCAAAGGGGGGGAGGACTACTTCGGCATGTGGTCAGGGCAGCCTGAGGGTTACAGTGGGGGCTGCCCCGCCGAGCACGTCTCCGCGGGCCCTTCGCTCCTCCAGCACGTCGCAACCCGTGGAGTTCCGTGATGAGCCTGCTGGTCCTTCGAAGGAGGGACCTAGCGTCTCATTAGGGGCTCAGGCGGAGGACAAGATGTCAATCACTGCATTGAGGGATGAGCTAAGCTCTGGGGAGGAAGACCCGGCTGTGTTGCCCAGCAGTTCTCCGCTGAACAGAAGCAGATGGAGACTATTAAGCACATCCTACCCTGGCGACCCTCTGCTGTTTCCACCCCGCCGCTGGCCGCATCCCCTCCGCCTGCTCGTCGCCAAAGGCGCCCCCCTGCTGCCTCTACCTCTGCTCCAGCTCAGTCTCAGCAGCAGCCTCCACCCTGGCCGCATCGTGGAGCTGGCAGCAGGAAGGTGCAGCCCATCTCTGCCTCTGCCAGGCCTGTAAAGCGTCTGAGCAAGATGGTGCTCAGGTGCTTCGGGTCAACTGGGAAAAGATCAAAC